TCCGTTAGTAACCGATCCATTTTTATAGGACTTCGATCCTGGAATCCGATCAAATTAAATAAGTTTCATATTTTCCATTCCTAATAACTACCAAGTGCCTCTGAAAATACTTGGATCCTCTAGTGTGTTCCTCATGTACTATATGATTGTCTTATATGTTTTGAAATATGTTTTTACCAAAATTATTGATTTTCTGGCTTAAGAACCATGTCTACATGTTATGTGTCCTCTGATTACGATATTCACTTAAAAATATGATTGTTCCTGATTTATGGAATCATGGAATTTACTGGTTTATGAACTATGGTTTTCTGTTTTCACTGGTTACTACTTGAACTGTTTTATTGGAACATTATATGGATAGGCTGAAGGTCCAGCTCTGATCAAACTGGTAAATCCTTACAGACCTAAGGTGACCCTTGGGTAGGCTCTGAGGCCCCGAGAAACTTTCTTGGGTAGGCTTTCAGGCCCTAAGGCACTCCATTGGGTTAATCATGGGACTACATATGTCGTACGGGTGAAGGGTAATTACATGATTTATTTCATTGTCAGGTTTATGAGACTTTTACTGGATCACAATCCATATATTATAATTTACGGTTAAAACTGATTTCTACTGGATTTTTATATGGGTAGGATTCTAGAGTATGGAGGTTCAACCCTGATCCAGATAGTAAATCCTTACGAACCTAAGGCGACCCTTGGGCAGACTCCGAGGCCTAAGATCTTTCTTGGGTAGGCCCTGCTGCCCCGAGATGATTCTTGGGTAGGCCCCGTGACCCCGAGTAACTTTCTTGGGTAGGCTCTCAGGCCCCAAGGCATTCCCTTAGGGTGGCTTCCTTTGCTGTGTGCTTAGGGTAAGCCCTTATGGATGCAGTTCTGGGGAACTGTATAACGATGTTTGGTTGGAGGGTTCCACTATGGTTTTAAAAATATGTTTTAAACAATTAATGTTTTAAAAGATTTATATATTTTCACTGGTTTTGGTTGAAACACACTAGACACACTATTCTGATTTCCTGAACCTGGATCTACGAATGCCTCTGAACTGTAATCTTCATGTCTGTTACTCGAAGAAATATCAGTAAAACCACAGCTCATTCTGAAATCATTAATAAGTCTGAGTCAATAAGAAAATTTTATGGTTTTCCATTTATTTGCATGTCCTGTAGCATCAATTAGTAGTATTGTATTGCTGAGCTTCCCAAAACACACTCTATTACTCACCTTTTCAGGTCAAAAGGATTCAAACCAGTAAATCTATCGACATTGGTAAAGGAGTTTCATCGGAGTTGCTTGTGAAGTACGGTGCATGTGATTAGGGGGCATATAGCTTGTATTTTGTTTTTATATCCGAGTCTGGAATCTGTTTTATTTCTGAATATTCTTAAATTTTACTTTTGTGTTTATAAATTGTTTTATGATTTTACATGTTTTAATAAAAGAAATTAATTTTTCTGGGATTGTTACGGTGGGTTGCTCCGGTGGCCTAATGTAACACCTCAGATCGGATCGGGTCACCCGCATCGGTATGTAAGTGTTACACTTTGTTTTTCTTATTGTTTGTTTTCTTCTTTGGCCGCCATGGCGGCTTGACTCCGACTAATCACTTGTCGTTCCTACAGGATCTGGTAATGTTGGTTTTATACGAAACCATAAAATTGAAAGACGATTTCGTTAAAACCAAGTTGTGTTTGATATTGATTGTCGAGGAAAGTTGCAGTTTCTGATGTCGCTGATGCTTTCCGGTGTGGCGGCGGGCATTGTCATCGGATACGTAGGCCGATTTGGTGACAGCCATGCTGGTTGGTCGCATACTCTTTGGAAGAAAGATGTATATTATTTTTACAATAATCTATTCTAAAAATGTAAATTTAAATGCAACTGAATAATAAACTTACTTTTAAAATGAACATCTATTATTTTTTTTAAAGGAAAGAGAAAAACAAATTTAAGATTGTTACACGTCTCTTCCTTGCTTTACAGATTTCGTCAGGTCAACGAGGAATTACCAACTTCGGATACCTTGCCGGATAGGAGACTATGGCTCTAAATACTTGTTTCATGCATCTTCAATACGTTAAGTCTTACCAACTCCGATCACCTAACTTGAAACTTTGTTCTACTCAGGAGACTACTATTAAAGATAAGACCCTCTACAGCATCTAAAATCTAAAGACATGCGTAAACAGTTTTTCACACTTTTCTAGCCAGCAGGGAGGATAAAAACATTGTTAAACTATATATTTAGTTACTCAATTATTCTTGTACTTCTATTTTGATCATTTAACTAATATTTTAAGAATTATAATTATACTTACAATCTTGTTTTGCTTTGATCACACATCTTTAAAAAAATCAACAGTGATTTTGACGTATCATCATAAAATATTATTAAATTATCATTGAAAAATATAAAAATTACCATATCAATAGTTATGTTTTTTTAAAACGACAAGTGATTAAAACAAAATAAAAACGTAAATTTAATGATAAATTGTAAAACAAAACAAACTATTGAGTGACCAAATCATAACCATAAAAATAATTGAGTGACAAAATAACATAATTTATCCTAAAATTATAGACACAACTCACACAAATACCAACACCTTACCACATTCCCTCTCCTATATTTCCTTTGATGGTTTTCAATTGAGCCGGTGCACGATCTCACCATTTATATGGATATCGAAATTTATAAAATTTCTACTATATTCATTCAACTATTAATTCCATAAAATATATTGAAAATTGATGGAAATAATAAGAATGTGAGAAGATGAATTGGCATTGAGAAATAGACAAGTGAATGGAGTTTTCAAGTTACAAATAGAATCTGAGAACCCAAAGAGTATAAAGTTGAATGCAAGTGATGTATTGATCAGTCAAAGTCTTGTGGGGGGAAATATAACTTTTGAACTAAAGAAGCTTCGAATTTATTCTAAAAAGTCAAACAAAAATTGTCAAATGAAAATTATGCCAAAATAGTATTTCTTTTACTTTGAAAATCACAGTGTCAAAATGATGTGATTTTGAAAGGGACCAATCACCCAAAACTTTATTGATTTTGACGATGAACATTGGAGATTATTTGACATTCATCTATCCACCTTTTGGTTTTTGACTAATTAAGAGAATCTTATTAGGGAAAGTTCACCAATTTAGGGGGGTGGGGAAACCTATTAATAATGGAATGACTAACTATATTATCTTATGATCTCATCCAATATAATTTAATTATAAAATTTTAATATAAAAAAACCCAATATACCACCACCTCAATGCAAAAAATTTAATAAAAAATAAGTATATTATACAAAAATAATTATAAATTAAACTTTTTAAATAAATATATCAACATCCATTTAACCTAAATCCAATCCCATTTTTTTAAACAAATCATCCAATCCCAAATTAAAAAAAACACCAATCAAGTTGGATAAGAAGCCGTCAAAATCGAAGAAAATTATCACCCCTAATCATTCTCAATTACAATTAATTAAACTCGTAAAAACAATAAAATAAATATAATATTCATACTTTAAAACTTATTTATAATTGAGTTTGAATTTTAATTTAGAGTTAGTCAAACATAAAAGTAAAAGAACATGAACATGAACAATTAAAACGGGAGAATAATCAGGCACGCACACACTTCACAATGGACTGATTCACTGCAAGTTGGTTCACCAGGTAAATCAAGTGTGATTTTCAATCATGGAGGACAGTGGTGAAACTTGACGTTTATCATACATTCTCTGTTCCTTCATGTTCACGGGGAATATGTTCTGTCAACGGCCACGTTAGTGTTTCAATGTTCGCTATGTGTCAAAAAAGAAAGCAACAAACAAGGGAAAATGGGGATATCATGAATTAGCTATTTTGCAGCTGTTGGATTCTCCGGTTTCCAATGGCTATAAATTGGGGTTTTCTCTACTGCTTTTCATCGAACTCACAAGGAAGAGAGGTCTTGTATGGAGATCTAGAGTCTGGTAAGGTAGCCAAGGATGACTTGCCTAAAATACCCGAGTCCGGTCCGGGTTTTCGAGTGAAAGGTCATTGTTTAATCGGGTTTTAGGCAGTCTCCTTTGGCTATCCCCACTGGCTCCAACCTTCCATGCATGACCTAAATCTCTTCCCTTCATGAACACCTCGCATCCATTTCCTCACGACTGGTCTAAAATGTGTTCCGATTGTGAATTCGAGACACAACAAAATATATGATGCAAGTGAATCATGTTACCTTATCCAGCATAGAACATATCGCCAGGTTCGAACTCCGTTTTTTCTTCTAATCACTTAATTGCTTATCTACACACACAGAATTAGATATCCATACCAGTGAATTCTAGGCTATAGAAGAAATTTATCTACACACAGAGAATTAGATATCCATATTAGTGAATTCTAGGCTATACAAGATCTATATAAACATTGGAAACCAAGGCAAAGAAGCAGAGTAAACACAATTAAAATGGTGGAGGGAGTTAAAGAATAAAAGGTTAAAGTACACATGCACCTAGGATCATATCATTTACAGATAGAGTGCAAGTTATCTGAAGTAGTCTTAAAGTGCATTCAAACAAACAGTTTCAAGAGAACTTCTTAAATACAAAATCATTTAACAACCAGAGTAAGAAACACATCTTGAGCGATTGCTTCATTGCTATGTTACCCAGACTCGAGGTAAGTCTCAGATATAGTATATGTCTAACACAAGTATATTCAATTTTCTTAAGGAGAATGAAGGGTCCATGTTTAAATACAAAATCCTTATGTGAAACTCTTCCCATTAGCCAACAATTGTTAGCTTACCAGAAGCACATTGCAGAGAAATGTTTTTGCACCAGACACAAATTCTCCTACTTTAACTACACCAAGAAGAAGATAAGCATGAAAACATCTGATAAGGGTTCAAATTCTAACATTGCCATTCCCATGGCTGACAGAATTCTGGTTTCAAAAAGTCCTATAAGGCTATAACAATGATTGGCAAAATTCTGGTTTAACAATGGAGAAGAAGGTTAGGAAAAGCCTTTACCGAGCCTCTGGATTGCACTAAAGAGTTTCCTTCTTGAACCAACTGCATTTATTCCCATATCCTTCAAATCTTCCAGTGTCAACAATGGCAGAATCTCCTCATCTACTTCATGGACCTCAAAAACAGGGGCGTATCGGCCTAGACCCAAACTTTCCAACCATGTTCGAACCCCATCATCTTCCTCGTGCCGTCTGGTGCTGGTATTCGAAACCCTAGTTCCAATTGGCATTCTCTGATTATTCCCATGATGACTCTGCTCCCTCAAGGGGCTTTCGCTGTTCTCCCTGTCGAAATCGGCGGTATCTTCACTGCCACTGGGTTTGTCCTCGGATTCTACATTGCTGTTGGAAACCCAATTGGACCGGACCCGTTTGGCTGCGGAGCAAAGTTTCATGGAATCTTTGACTCTCCAGCCACCAATTGGCACGGCATCCAAATTGTTTGTGTTGTTGTTAGCTTCTCTTGAGTCATCGACGGTTTGGTTCTTAGCGTTGAAGTCGGTGCTGAGATTGGTTACGGCGCGAGTCTTGGACGATTTACCACTCGCGGCGGTGGCTGAGGGGTTTAAGGAATGGTGTTTCCATTGCTTGGGGACGGAGGCGGTGGCAGAAGAGGACTGTCTCCGGGTATGAGAATCGTGCGGTTGGTCGCCGCCGATGTCGCCTAATCGAACGCTGGGTCGTCTCTGGCGTTTCGATCCAACGGCATCGACTGAAGCCACCGGTACGGAAACCTCGCCGGCGTTTTCCTGACAGTCCGATGGTTGTATATCCGCCATGTTTAATGGTTTTTTCTTTCTTTTTTTCTGGGTTTTGTTTTGATTTGTGAAGTAGAAAACGGCGATTAAAGAAGAGGGTTGGAATTGCCGCTTTTCGCTTCAAATCGGATTAGTCGATGTATATTCTCAATGTTTTTAAAAATTAAATTAATTTTATTTTAATCACTCACTTCTAATATAGTGTCTTATAATTTTCTTTTAAGGAAAATCTATTAAAAAAATCCATAGTCGGAGGAGAAACAGATGATCGTTTTTAAGACAATACGAACATTCACTCGCCACATTTTAGCTTCAATCCATCGAATCAAAGACGTTCGGGGACGATCCGTTTTTTTAATAGTCAACAGATGATTCGAATTATATTATTCTTTTTAAATTAATATTTTTTTCAGATGAAATATGTTATTGTAACATATTCTTCGTATCTTCTTCTATGTTATTGTAACATATTCTGTGTCTTCTTATAGTATAATTTTTAGTCGTCGATTCTCCGAACATTATTTATTTGATTAATTCTTATTATATTATATCACATGTTCTTAAAGTATGATTTTTATATTAAATTGATTCCTAAATTTTTAAATATTTCAATTTCATCCCTATGACTATGATTTTAAATTAGTCCTCAAACTTTTGAATATTTTAATTTCATCCCTAAACTAAAATCTTCAATCTAAATTGGTCCCAAACTTTTTGAGCATTCCAATTTCATCCCAAACTATATGTATACACTAATCACATCTCTTGTTAATAAAGTTGTTAGGCCAAGTTATATTATTATATGTTTGGGGAAAAAAGAGGTTAAACTATGGTTGAAATTAATTATATATTTGGATGAATTTGGGGATGAAATTGGAACATTCAAAAGTTTGGACACCAATTTAGAAAGAGGGTCATAGTTAAGGGATGAAATTAGAATGTTCAAAAGTTCAGGGATCAATTTAAAATGAGGGTCATAATTTAGAGATATAATACAATTAACTTAATACATTCATTTACCACCGATGTCACTGTGGTTCGTGTCCAATATTTTAAATATAGATAAACACTCACTATTACTAAAGATATATTGTTATTGGATTTTTATTTTTTCCGTATGATTTTTTTTTTATTTTTATGTGATTAATTTATGTATTTTGATTATTTTGAAAAAAAATATTTGATTTACGTAGTTAGCTTATTATTTTTTTTAAAATATAAAAAAGAAGGCAAAACCATTAAACTAAACGAATATAGGGGGATCATAAGTATTCCTGCAGATGATATCTAGCAAGCGAGGGAGGAGTCAAAGACCAGAATCGAACCATCTCTTGGATCTTCCCGTTTTGAGGTGAAAGCAGCTGCCTTGTTTGCTTCACGATAAATCTTTCGGAACTCGATGTACCAAGCTTTATTATAAAGGTGGGCAATGACTCTCACTAGAGCGAAATGACTCACACTAGAAGGAGGCGAGAGAAGGCAAAGAGCATCGCTGCTGTCAGTTTGCATAAGGACACGCTCAAATCCGTTATTCCATTCAAGTTCCAGGCCTTCGAGTATGCCCCAAAGCTCCTCTTCTAGAACAGTCATGTGGCCGATAAACATGTAAAAAGTAGAATGGTAGACCCCCATCGAATCCTGAAACAACCCGCCAATCGAACCTTGGTTTGTGGAGGGTGAAAGGGAGACATCGATATTAAGACAAATACAGCCATGTCAGGTAGGGACCATTGAACTAGTTGCATGGCATTTGAAATGGAGACATGACTACGAGCTCTTGAAATAACAAACTGAAAACTCCAGGATAGACCCGATCGGAATAATGTTGATGGAACATACGACAGCCCTTGGAAGATGTAATTAGTTTACTATTGTCTTATAGACTTTACTATATTAAAATATTTATAGTTAATAAAACTAAATATTTATCAAATTAATATATCTCATCATTAAAAGTAATAAATAAATAAATAAATAGAATATATGTATATAACTGTGGTGGTCCTGAATAAGCGAACCAGATGGATTTGTATAACCTATTGGAGTTTTGTTTACAAAGCTCATTGGATCATAAATGGGCTTATCCCCTTGATGGCTTCGGAAAGGGCTTATTCTAAGCCCATTCCTAAAGTTGGCCCCATATTCTCAGTCAACCAAGTGAGTGTAAAAGCAATGGTCAATTTCACAGTCGCATGTGCTAACTCATATGGTGTAGTCTCTTTCATGGAGGTATGGGCACCGCCAAAGGACATTGTAAAACCCTAGGAACCAACTTCTACGAGCTTCATTTTTCATTTTTACGTGTGAATTGCATGGGCTAGGATTAATGGGCACTTCATTTTCATGGTGTTCCACCACCTATAAAATTTCCTTAACCAAAACGCTCGTCAAATTTAAACTTGCATGTGCTTGCATGTGTGGTCTCTCGGTCTCCCAGGGATGGGCTTCGATCGGCATATATAAAAAAGGCCAAAGGAGCTTGAATGCTCAGTGTTACGTCCCCTTCCACATTAAATCAAATTCTAGCAGTCAATTTGTTCTCCATTTCCCATTGACTGCTTCCTCTACGATTACATTGAATGGTGCAAGAAAAAACAGCATTGTCATGTTTTCCATTTGGATTTCATTGTAAAGATATCATGTGAATGTTAGCCCAATAAGTTTTATACCCTAATCCGCTCTCGTTCGATCAAGTCTTTTTAAATAAAGTTTCTGTTTCGAGTCTTGTGAATGAAAAAAAAACAAGTGTGGTAAGAGCTTTGACAAGTTGAATAAGAAAACAGGGATGGGGTTTGTGGTTTTGGACAAGTTGGATTGTATGAAAAGGTCAAAACAAAACATTGTCAAGTGTTGGTTGAAGTCAAAATATAGAGGGACAGATCGAAGGGGCAAACACCTGCACATAGATAATTATTTATCTGTACAGCCCATACCTAAATCGTCATCTTCTTTGGTTTTTTCTTATTTATTTTAAGTAAGAGACAAGGTGGTTCAATGGGGAAGCGACCAAGCCATGGGGGTATGCTCCTCTACATGGACTAACAAGTGAAGCCCATAGTGGACCCACTGGTCAGGTCCATTCGGTCGCAACTAGAGGCTGCACCATCCCAAGTTCCTAGCCATCACCACTCGAGACTGATCCCTGTTCCTTCACCATCCCCAAAACGGTGGGTCAATATTGTCCATTTCAATTTCATAATCGTCGTCGTTATCTTCTAGCTAGAACAACAATGGCGAATATTTTGGTTAAACTTCCACCGCTACGTGCATACGTTTCTTGTATTCGGATAGGAGCGTTGGAGAAACACCCCGCCATAAGTTGTGTAAAAGTTGAAGAGAAATGTCAAATACCAATTAGATTGGTGGTATGATGTGTTAGATTCATCGAATCACGTTTAGATTTTAAATTATGTTGTTAAGAATTAAGTAAACGAGTCAGTTAATAGGTTGTAACAGATAAATTATCGAACCATAAAATATTAGATCATTTTTTTGACGTGGAATTATATATTTATTAAAAATCTTAAATTTCATAGAGTTACAAACAAATCAATCAAATAATTATATATAGTAATCAAATCATTGAAATAAATGGTTGTAACAATTTAGTCATATGTCATTACGTCATTCATTGTATACAGATGTTCTTATATTTCACCATATGATTAACCTCAATCAATTCTGTCAATTTATTGGATTAAATTTATGATAATCTCTCTAGAAAAGTTATGAATCATTCAAAATTCAAATTTCTTAAACATTTATCTACGTCATTCACCGTAAGATAAATTTTGTCTTGAGATATGTTTTTACTCTTACCAACAACAACTCTACGTCGTTTGATTATTTTGGATCATCGGATGTAACCCCGTGTTTTCGAGAAGCTCAAAACTGGAAATGAGTTTTCTTATATGATTTTCTTTTCTAATTAATTTAGTAACTTGTTCGTTGCTTTTAAAATGAGGTGATTACTGATAATTGAATGACTTATCTAATAAAGAACACTAATATAAATGAAATTGTAACGAAACCAGTATTTTACTTTTTATAATTGTATGTTAAAAATATTTTTATAAAGATATTATGTATTGCTTCTCAGTTTAAATTTGTTCTGAATTACAATATTTTTCGTAAAATATTATGCGTTGCTTCTCCGACTGATGGGATTTTCAGTGACGTACGAGTATAGTGTTTTAATTAATTGAATCTAATTAATTGGGTGACACTTCATTAACTTTAGCTGCTTATTCATCCCCATCCCACTACAGTTCTTATTATGAACGTGTCTTGTGTTGGTTTTTGACAAATATCCCACATTGGTTTTGTATAAGGAATAGGGAAAATTCTTTTGTTATAAATAGAACTCTCCTCCTCCTTAGTTTAGCATCCCACAAATATAAGTCTTATTTAATATTAAAGACTATTTGTACTATTTCTCTCTTTGTAATATTTCCTCTATTAGTGAAATATTATTTTAGTAGTGTTCGAGGAGGTAAGCATAATTTCGGTCTAACCTCGTTAAATCTTGGTGTTATCTTTATGTCTATTTAATAGATATTGTCGGGTATAGTTGTTGTTAATTATTCTCCTATTAAAGTTACTTGTCTTTGTAGTTCTGTCTAAGGAAATTGGGTTTTAAGAGGGACCATTGTGACCCCTCCTATTTCCTGGGAATCTACCTTGGGGTGATTTTTAGTACAATCGTTTTCACACTAGTCACCTAGATAATAGTTTTCAAGGTGAATTTGTTATTATTGGTGGAAATTAACCCGAATTCCACAACAATTGGTATCAGCGCTCTTGGTTTATTTTAGTATGCTTTGTGGTTGCGGCTTAGGCTGATCTTCCACATCAGAAAAAATTTTCTTGGGATAATTGGCATTCCGCATTGACAGCTATTAAATAGAATTTGTAGCAGAAATGGCAGACGCAACAAAAACATCTACATCGTCGTCAACAGCTGTGACAAATGTTAGATTTGCAGTGGAGATTTTTGATGGCACCGGTCATTTCGACATGTGGCAAAGTGAGGTTCTAGATGCCCTATTTCAGCAGGGTCTACACATTGCTATTGAAGGAGAGAAACCAGATGATGT